GAAGTAGATTGCCCAACCTTCCTTCTGAGGAGTGGCTGGTGGGTTTGAATCCCCAGCTTTCTGGTTAGCAGTCAAAGGCCTTACGTACTATGCCACTGGGGTATCTTAGCAAAAGAGTAGAAAAGTCAGAGAAACACTGACACAGGGAAGACAGATACCATATGCAGACCCATCTACAAGCAAAGGAATGCCAAAGATTGTTGGCAGACACCAGAAACTAGGAGAGAGGCCCAGAGAAGGAAATGATGAAGCTGATATCTTGAGTTGGACTTTCAGCTTCCAGAACTGTGAGAACATAAATTTCTTAAAACCATCCATTTGTGGTATTTTTTATTATGACAGCACTAGATAGCTAAGACAGCAACTATATGCTATTTCACTATACAAGTAATTCAAATGAGTGAGGTAGGCCAAAGCAGACCAGTGGGGCCTGTGGCAAACTAGACAGTATACGTTTAGTCAAAAGAGGGCAGCCATCTCCTCCATTGCTGGGATGTGCAAATGTGGGTCCAGTATTGCTAGAACCTTTAATTTTTCAAAGGAAGCCAGAAATCTACATTTGTTTGTATGAAATTCTGTCCCTCTCCCAATGTAGATTTTTTAAAAATTAGCTGCTCATGTTTATAAAATCTGTTGGATCATCCTAACATTCCAAAAGATTCAATCCAGGCCACAGGCTGCAGATTTATTTCCAAGAGCAGTTCATAGCATGTGTTAGCTATCTAATGGTGTAAGTTCACATACAATGCTATAGGAAAATCACCTGAAGTATGTGACCATAAAACCAAGGAGGCTGATTTTTATGTGTTGTTTGTGGAAAGCAGCCTCGTTACTTTATAGTCATACCTTGTAACAATCACTAGCAGGACACCCCAAGAAGTGTCATGTTGAATCCATATCAGCATTAAACCTAAAAATAAAAGAGCATAACATAATACTTGTCCTCCTTAATAATCACCTCAAATGGAGCCCTATTTTCCCTTAATACACTTTCTAGATCGATTATCCAAGAAATTATTTTAACATTTTCGGTATCTATTTTTTCAAATGGCACTTGCCTTGTACTTCTACAGCATTGCCACGTCTATTATCTCAATTTCTGCAGGATTTAAATAGTTTATTCTTGCCATCTAGCTTAATAGCTCAATTTAAGATCATTACACTTTGAAATGTTATTTTGAACTGAAAGAAGATTAACATAACTGTAGTGCTCTCATGGTCTAAGTTTAAGGGAATTTCAAATAGGGCTTAAAAAAGGTTTTCTCTCCTAACTAGAGCATTTTCTTAAGCTTAAACTAGACTTAAGTTTTATGAGGGCACAGATTGTGACATTGTGCCCTAGAGGGCTCAAAATGTTTGCTCAAGTAATTAAATCAACAGTGATGTCAGGTTCACTTTGGATGTAGGATGTCACTATGTCACTATGTCAACCTGTTAACAGCTGTATTCCCAAAGAACAACAGGGTTGATTCAGCCTACTTCCATAGTGACACAGCCTCAGAAACCCAAGGAGGGGTCTCTATGAGTCGGGTGCGACTGGACAGCACACAGCAACAACAACGACAACATGAGAACATCTAGGCGATGTGACGTGAAGACTACTCTTTCTCTGCTAGCCCCTAAATGTCAGTGTTTGTGAAGCTAAAGGCATAGACCTTCCCTTCACACCCTACGCAATTTCCCTGAGAAGAGTCATCTACCCCCATGGCCTTAACTCCTGCTACATGTGTGAAAGACCCAAAGATTATCTTTGACTCTGGCTTTTTCCCTAAGCTATGACTTACATCTCTAAATGCTTACTAGATATTTCCATTCTTACATCTGAGGACACCTTAATACATGTCCCAACCTGAAGCCATCCTTTCTCAGATTTTGCCTATACCAGTAAATGGGCCCACCTAATGGCCTAAGCGAAAGCTAGGTCAACCTCACTTCTCTCAGCCATATACACTGAATCAGTCATCGATTCCTAGTGATTCTACCTCCAAAAATCTATCTGTAATCGGTCTGCTCTTCCATTACTACAGACACCATACCAGGGCTTCAAACCAGTTCAATCATGGCTGATGGAAGTGAAACTGGAACAGATTTGAATTTTTTAAATTTGGGCGATCTAGAACACTAATGGAATGGGAAAAATTGGGGGTTGAAGTCTCTGGGTGATGCAAACAGTTAATGCACTCAGATGCTAACTGAAAGGTGCCTCTGGCACCTCCCAAGAAAGGCCAGGCAATCTACCTCAAAAACATCAGTCACTGAAAACCCTCTGGAGCCCAGCTCTGTTGACATATACGGGGTTGGGGTCGGGTTGCCATGGGTAGTAATCCAGTAGAAGGCAACTGTTATTATTTAATCTCATGGTATAGCTGTAAAAGTTGAGACACTGTTGGCCAGTGTTTGACACAACTGATACATAGTAAATGCTCGTAAATATTGTTGTTGTTGTTGTTATGTGCCCTATTAGCCACTGTTATTATCGCTCTAGTTCATTTTTCACATGTCTCCTGTTTGTATTCTGAGTTCTATCCACAGCAAGCACCTTCAATTTCTTTTTCTTACTAGGGCTTTACATAGCACCTTCCCCTACGCTTCAGGTTTCATCCTAAACGTCACATGCTCTGGAAAGTTGTCCTGGCTCCTACTGTACCCTGTTAGTGCCCTTACTGTGTGCTCCTCCTGTCACAGCATTTACCCAGTTTCTGCTACTTTTTGTTTCCCTCTCTCTCTTCACTGCTAGATTGTAAATTCTGTGTGAAGAAACTCATGTCTATCTTGCTCACCATTGTATCTCCAGTGGGTAGCACAGTGCCTGGGACACAGTAGGCACTCAATAAACAATTGTTAAGTAGATGAATGAGTGGTATTTTCTCTGTCATAGGAACTCTGGTGGTGTAGTGCCTAAGGCATGTGACTGCTAACCAGAAGGCAGGCGGTTCAAACCCCCCCAGGCACTCGTGGGAAGGAAGACCGTAGAGATACTGCCTGGGAAACCCAAGGAGAGGTAGCTATGAGTAGGAACCTACTCGAGAGCAGTGTCCGTCAACCGCCCCCTCCATAAGGTCCTGTGTGTTTCACCCAAAGCTGTTGGTGGTAGGAAAGCACAACATTTTTAAAGGCGATATGCAAAATACATTTCTGAAAAGGCTGCTCAGGACAAAGAACAAGGTCAAATAATACTGGGTAAAAAACCACCGCCACACAGTAGATTCCACCTTAAAGCGATCATATAAAATTAGCACTTCTTGGAATACTTTCTATGCTTAAGTGTATTGATAGGAGCTCTTGCGGCATTGCTTCAGGCATTAGGCTGCTAACCAAAAGGTGGGCGGTCCCAACCCACCAGCGCTCCGCAGTAAAACGATGATCGCCCAACCTTCCTTTCGAGAGGAGTAGCTGGTGGGTTTGAACCGCCAGCCTTCTAGTTAGCAGTCAAATGCCTTAGGCACCACGCTACCAGAGCTCTTTGGAAACCCTATGGGGTAGTTCTACTCTGTCCTATAGAGTCCCTATGAGTCAGAAATCCACTCGATGGCAGATAAATATATATATTTTAAGTTTACTGTGACTCTTCAAATTTAGGAGAAGAGGTATCGCGTGATCTGACCGCGGAATTTCTCAAAACATCTTCTGCAACTAGTTAAGTGTTCCAGGAACACATTGTTGCAAAAGCTGATTGAGGAGATGCTTTTCCCTACTCAGTGACAGTGGGTTTTCCCCTACTCGCAACGTGCTCCCCTGGAGTCGGATGGATCCCTCCTTGGGTTTCCGAGGAGACTGAACTTGCAAGTAAGGTGGTCATTATTGAGGAGTAAATCTCTGAAGCACTAACTGCAGGGTTCACAGTGCCTAGAGATACTGCCTCGGAAACCCAAGAGGGATCCGAATCCACCGCAGTGAATTTGCTTTTTGGTTTTAACCCTGTTGACGCAGTGGCTAAGCGCCACTCCTCGGGAGAAATGACCCGATGACCTACTCCAGTAAAGATTTCAGCCTAGGAAACATGAGGCACTTCCACCCTGTCCTATATGGTCACTATGAGTTGGAATCTACTGGAGGACACAAAATCACCATCACCCTTTATGGACACAAAATCAAGGTGCTGTAAGGAACTTGGGGATAAATCAAGAACGTGTTTTCGTTCACGTATTCGGAAATTGAGGCCCAGAAGAGCAAAGCGACTGGTCAACGGCCACATCACAACATATAAAAAAGGAAGAGCTGGAAGTAGAATCTCAGTCATCTATTTCGTCCCTGCGGCTCCACTACGAACAATGTCCCTAATTACTTGGGTCCGCTAAGCGCTCCCATCTCCAAAAATTTTTTGAGCCACACTAAAGGACAGGTCAGTTTTCCTCTGCCGCTCACCCCCTAGGCCTGCAGTCACCAGCTCTCCCTCCCTCATTTACGCGTGCCTCGTAACCCCAGGACAGTCCGGGCGGATGAGATAGTTCCTTTCTTTATGCTTAGAGTTTATTTTTGCAATCTAAACTTTTTCATGTAAACCAAACTACCTGTCGGTTAATTTTAACGTCTTCGCCTAAATCCCCTTGGGCGCTATTCTCCAGCCCACTCCACCCCACTTCATCCCACCCTATGCGCTCCTTCCTCCCCCGGACCGTGGGGCCCTGCCGTCGATCTTTACCTGGGACTGCCATGGCGATGGCAAGAGGGGTTGCTGGAACCCTTGGTACTCGAAGGCGCGCTCGGTTCCCGCCGGCTGCTAGGACCACGCACAGCCAAGGCAGCCTTTTCCTCCCACCCGCTCTGCGGAACCTCCACTAGTCCAGGAAGGCCCTATAAGTCTCTGGCTATAGCGGAACCAAGTAGCAGTCGCTGCAGTTTCCGAGAGAGTCACATTGCAGAACACACATGGTCCGAACCATTACTTCTAGCTTCGGGGGGGATGAGTCCGACCTGCAGTCCTGCAGTAAAAATAAACACCAACAGTACTCGAAGATAGTTCCTTTAACTCATTTGGTACAAGTTACATTAAAGTACAGAAAGTTAAGAACATTTTCTCGTTCCCTGGAAAATATTGGAAACCCCTTCTCAAGGTTAGCGGTGCCGGGGTCCAGGAGCAACATGGCGGCGTCCATGAGGGGCTAGCTTTGGGAAAAAGTAGTGTTTGATGTTGCTGTCTTGTAGACCATCAACCTACTGGAGTTTTCCGCGACCATCAACTTAAGGAAGCAGCCTCTACTGATAGACGGACAGTTAGTTTTCTTCAATAAGGAGCACAGTCCTGAGCACTGACCACGATGAGCAACATCTACATCCAGGAGCCTCCCACGAACGGGAAGGTGAGAGCCTTGCCTACAGACCTGGGCTACCCAAAGTGAAACCTACCCAGTTAGGACGGCCCTGGGGTCTTAAATTTGGAAGACAGCAGTAATGTCTTTCCTCCTGACTCCGAGCACGAGTGCGTCGAAAATCGTATGTTGGCGTTGCTTAGCATATACTTAAAAGAGACTTCAAGCGGACATTTCTCTACCAACCCTCCCCCCCTATTTCCTGCTCTCAATTTAACTCATACTGGCATTTTCCAGGGTCTTAGGTTTTTAAAAGTACATTTTAAAATTTGACTTTTTTTTTTTTTGCTTATTTTGGAGATCTTTCACCATTTGTTCTACAATCATTTATTGTATGATAAATGCCCGCTATGTACCAGGCACTTCGTTATGCTCTGAGGCTATACAGACTAATGGGTAAGGCCTACTTATTGCCCTGGAAGAGCTTGTTTAGTATGGAAGACAGGCACAGTGAAGAAAAACCTTATGATATGGTTGGTAGGTGTTCTGTGGGGGGAGGAGCATATTGCTATGACAGTACTGACAAGTGAGGAACTGAGAAAGTTGGGGAAAGCTTCCTGGAAAAGGTATCTTTTTAGCTCATCTTACAGCATGAGATGATTGTTAGTTAAAGAGAGTGGGAAATGGGAAAAGTTCCCACATTTGAATGGGAGGAAGAGTCCTTGATAGATTTGATGGTTGTTGTTATGTGCCATTGAGTGGGACTCGACTCCTAGCAACCCCTCTTTGGGTTTCTGAGGCAGTATCACTAGAGAAGTAGATTGCTCAACCTTCCTTCGGAGGAGTGGCTGGTGGGTGGTGGGTTTGAACTGCCAGCCTTCTGGTTAGCAGTCAGGTGCCTTAGGCACTACACTCCTATTTGATGGTTAAGGTATGTTAAGTCCTGCCCAGGGTGTTTGTATGCAGAGTAATATATGTCACCTAAACTCTTGAAAGGAGCTCTGGTAGCATAGTGGCTAAAGCACTTGACTGCTAACCAGAAGGCTGGCGGTTCAAACCCACCAGCCACTCCTAGGAAGGAAGGTTGGGCAATCCTACTTCCGTAGTGATACTGCCTCGGAAACCCAAGGAGGGGTCACTATGAGTCGGGGCTGACTCGACGGTACATAACAACAACAACAACAAACTCTTGAAATGAGACCTAGTTTATGTCACATACAAAATTTGATGTATCACTATAATGGAGAAAATAGTGTGAGTGAAGTTATATGGTTGGATTAGGATAAACTAAATTTGCATAATTTACTATTCTGTTGTATGACTGTATTATAAATGATCAAATATTCTATTAAGGGACATTTGGTAATATAATGAGGGCTATTTGAAAACAACAAAAACAAAAATATTGAAATGTGTGTCTCCAAAAAAAAAATTTAGTGTGTATTTTGGACAGAAAAATTCTTTGTTTTTTGAACATCTCCTGGGCACTGCAGATTAGCATTTGCTCCCTCTCTCCACACACACACAATTGTGAAAGCCCCAAACAGTTACCATATTTCCAAATGTTTCTTGGGGGTGATATCACTCCCAGTTGATAAACACTGGAAGAAGATTGAATAGTTGCTTATGCTACCAGGCCGGGCCTTCACACTTGCTATTACTATCTCTAATATGTTGTTTCACCTGCTCAAGTGTCACCTTACTAAAGAGATTTTTTCCTTTAGAACCTTCTGTGAAATAGCAAACCTCATTCATGCCCAGTATCTCAGCATTCCCTGCCCCCTTATCCTTTTTAGTTTTTCTGATAATTGTTGTTAGGTGCCACCCAGTTGGCTCTGACTAATAGCAACCTTATGTTTAATAGAACAAATGTTACCTTGTCCTTCACCATCCTCACAGTTGTTTCTGTGTTTGAGCCCATTTTGCAGCCACAGTGTCAATCCATCTCATTAAGGGTCTCCCTCTTTTTCACTGACCCTGTACTTTAAAGCATGATACCCTTCTCCAGAGAGTGGTGGCTCCTGATAATACGTCCAAAGCATGTAAGACGAAGTCTCACAATCCTTGCTTCTACAGAGCATTCTGGCTGTGTATCTTCCAAGACAAATTTGTTCTTTCTTCTGGCAGTCCTTGGTATATTCAATATTTGCCAGCACCATTGCTTTCTAAACTGGTGATTGCACACTGCAGGGAATGTGCAAAACCATCCGTGGCATGTAGAAGGAAATCTTTGTGTGTCTTTTCTCTTAGTTTTTTTTTTTTAAACGTCGTATTTTGTATATACAAGAGAACATATAAGCAGTGATCATTGCAGATCTCTGCTGTAGGGTTGCAAAGTCATGCCTAGGTTCTCTTTAACAACAGTGCTTTATTTCAAGTATGTAGTTCTTAGTTGCCAGAGAGTTGATTCTGACTCATAGTGATCTCATGGGACAGAGCAGAACTGCCCCATAGGGTTTTCTTGGCTGTAGTCTTGATGGAAGCAAATCAGGTCTTTCTCTTACAGAGCCACTGAATGGGTTTGAACTGCCAACCTTTCACTTAGCAGCCTAGTACTTATGTATTTATACTACCAGGGCTCCTTTATTTCAAGTATACAAGGGGACAATGAAATAAGACAAGCATTGTTTTTTTTAGTTTACTGAGAACATCAGGTTCATGGAATCAGTTGTTGCACAGTGTTATTCTAGACATAATTTGAGGTGGAGAGAGTTACTCAGCTTCTCAGTTTACACTCCAATTGTATGCTTCCTGGGAGACTGAGAATCCAATTGGGTTGATTTGTTGTGTTGTCTGCATATCACACAGCCTCACGATCCTTGCCATACTTGAGCCCATCGTTGCAGCCGCTGTGTCAAACCATATCGTTGAGGCCCTTCCCTTTGTTTGTTGACCCTCTACTTTACCAAGCATGATATCCTTCTCCAGAGAATCGTCCCTTCTGACAACAAGACTAAAGTAGGTGAGATGAAGTCTGGCCATTCTTACCTCCAAGGAGCATTCTGGCTGCATTTCTTCCAGGACAGGTTTGTTTGTTCTTTTGGCAGTCCATGGTACTTTCAGTAGTCTTCACCAGCACCACAAGTCAAAAGCATCAACTCTTCTTCGGTCTTCCTTATTCATTGTCCAGCTCTCACATGCATATGAGGTGATTGAAAATACCATGGCTTGTGTTAGGTGCATCTTAGTTTTCAAAGAGACATCTTTGTTCTTCAGCACTTGAAAGAGGTCTTTTGGCCAATGTAATATGTTGTCCGATATATTGACTGCTGTTTCCATTAGTGTTGATAGTAGAACCAAGTAATGTGAAGTCTTTGACAACTTTAATCTTTTCTCCACTTATCGTGATGCTGCTTATTGATCCAATTGTGAGGAGTTTTGTTTTTTTATATTGAGGTGTAATCCATCCTACAGACTGTAGTCTTCAGTCTTCATCAGTAAGTACTTAAGTCATTCTTACTTTCAGCAAAGTTGTGTTGTCTGTATATCACAGGTTGTTAATGAGTCTTCCTGCAATCCTGATTCCATACTCTTCTTCATATAGTCCAGCTTCTTGGATTATTTGCTCAGAATACAAATTGAATAAGTATGGTGAAAGGATACAACTTTGACACCCTCCCTTCTGATTTTAAACTACTTAGTATCCCCCTGTTCTGCTCAAACAACAGCCTCCTGGTCTGTGTACAGATTTCTCATGAGTACAATCAAGTATTTTGGAATTCCCATTCTTCTCAATGTTATCCATAGTTTGTTATGATCCACACCATTGAATGCTTTTGCATAGTTGATAAAACATAAGTAAACATCTTTCTGGTATTCTGTGCTTTCAGCCAAGATCCATCTGACATCAGCAATGATATCCCTCATTCCATGTCCTCTTCTGAATCCAGCTTGCATTTCTGGAAGTTCTCTGTCAATATATTGCTGCAACTGTTTTTGAATTATCTTCAGTAAAATTTTACTTGCATGTGATATTAATGATGTTATTCAACAATTTGCACATCCTTTGGGATCACCTTTCTTTGGAATGGGTACAAATATGGATCTTTTCCAGTCAGTTGGTCAGGTAGCTGTCTTCCAAATATCTTAATATAACCAAGTGAGGGCCTCCAGTGCGGGATCCGTGTGTTGAAACATCTCAATGAGTATTCTGTCATTTCCTGGATTCTTGTTTTTTGCAAATTTCTTCAGTGCAGCTTCAACTTCTTCCTTCAGTACCGTTGGTTCTTGATCATATGCCACCTCCTGAAATGGATGAACATTGATTGATTCTTTTTGGTACAAAAAAACCAAAAATGCAACCATTGCCGTGGACTCGGACCCGGCCCATAGCGACCCCTCCTTGGGTTTCCGAGGCAGTATCACTACGGAAGTAGATTGCCCAACCTTCCTTCCGGGGAGTGGCTGGTGGATTTGAACCGCCAGCCTTCTGGTTAGCAGTCAAGTGCCTTAGGCACTATGCTACCAGAGCTCCCCTTTTTGGTACAGTGACTGTGTATTCCTTCCATCTTCTTTTGATATTTCCTGAGTCATTCAATATATTGCCCATAGAATCTTTCAGTATTGCAGCTTGAGGCTTAAATTTTTTCTTCAGTTCTTTCAGCTTGAGAAATGCTAAGCGTGTTCTCCCCTTTGGGTTTTCTTAATCCATGTCTTTGCACATTTCATTATAGTAATTGGCTTTGTCTTCTCGAGCTGCTCTTTGAAATCTCTGTTTGGCTCTTTTATCTTGTCAGTTCTTCCATTGGCTTTAGCTACTTTCCACTCAAGGACAAGTTTCAGAGTGTGTTCTGACATCCATTTTGGTCTTTTCTTCCTTTCCTGTTTTTTTAATGACCTTTAGCTTTCTTCATGGATGAAGTTCTTGATGTCATCCCACAATTCTTCTGATTTTTGGTCATTGGTGTTCAATGCATCAAGTCTGTTCTTTAGATTCTCTGCACTCAGGTTGGATATAATCAATGTCATATTTTGGCTCTTGTGGACTTGTTTTAATTGTCTTCAGCTTCAACTTGAACGTGCATATGAGCAGTTGATGGTCTGTTCCACAGTCAGCTCCTGGCCTTGTTTTGGCTGAAGATACTGAGCTTCTCCATCGCCTCTTGCCACAGATAGAGTCAGTCTGATTCCTGTATACTCCATCTGGTGACATTCACTTGTATAGCCACCATTTGTGTTGTTGAAAAAAGATATTTGCATTGAATAAATTGTTGGTCTTGCAAAATTCTATCATGGGATCTCCAGCATTATTTCTGTCACCAAGGCCATATTTTCCAAGTATTCTTCTTTGTTTCCAACTTTTGCATTCCAATTATCAGTGATAATCAACGATCTTGATTACAAGTTTGGTCAATTTCAGACAGCAGAAGTTGGTAAAATTTCAATTTCCTCATCTCTGGCTTTGGTGGTTGGTGTGTAAATTTGAATAATAGTCATATTAACTGGTCTTCCCTGTAGGTATATGGATATTATCCTATCACCGACAGCATTGTACTTCAGGGTAGATCTTTCTTTGTGATGATGAATGACACGCCACTCCTCTTCAATTTGTCTTTCTTGGCATAATAGATCATACGATTTTCTGATTCAAAATGGCCCAAGCCAGTCCACTTCAGCTCACTGATGCCTAGTGTATCTATCTTTATGCATTCCATTCTATTTTTGACAACTTCCCATTTTCTTAAATTCATACTTCATACAGTCCACATTCTGATTATTAATGGATGTTTGCAGCTGTTTCTTTTCATCTTGAGTCATGCCACATCACCAAATGGAGGTCCCGAAACCTTTATTCTATCCGCAGATTATAGTAGGCTCTACTCTGATGAGGCAGCTCTTCCCCAGTCGTATTTTGAGTGCCTTCCAATCTGAGTAATTCATCTTCTGGCACTATACTGGACAGTGTTTCAGGGCTATTCATAAAGTTTTCCTGTGATATGTCCAACAGTGTTTCACTGCTATTCATAACGTTCTCTCTGGCCAGTTGTTTGAGAAGTGGATGGCTTCTTCCTTCTTCTGAGACTTTTTTAGTCTGGAAGCTCCACTGAAAACCGTCCACCATGGGTAACCCTGCTGGCATTTGAAACACTGGTGGCATAGCCTCCAACCTCACAGCAACATGCAAGCCACCACAGTATGACAAACTGACACACAAGTTCATCTCACTTAGTTGTTCCAAACTGCTCCGCTCACTTCCTGGCCTCCTGCAGCTGTTCCAAACCTGCCGCCAGCTCGCTTCCTTCCTGGTCTGCTCTATGAGGCTATTTCATATGAGGCTACTGAAAATACCATGGCTTGGGTCAGGCACACCTTAGTCTTCAATGTGACATCTTTGCTCTTTAACACATTAAAGAGGTCTTTTTTCGGTAGGTTTGCCTAGTACAACGATGCCCTTTGATTTCTTGACTGCTCTTGCCATTGGTATTGATTGTGGATCCAAGTAAAATGAAACCCTTGACAACTTCAGAGTTTTCACCATTTACCATGATGCTGCTTATTGGTCCAGTTTTGAGGATTTTTTTTTTTTTTCTTTTTTAGCTTGAGATGTAATCCATACTGAAGGCTGTAGTCTCTGATCATCATCAGTAGGTGCTTCAAGTCTTCTTCACTTTGAGCAAGCAAAGTTGTTTCATCTGAATATCGCAGGTTGTTAATGAATCTTCCTCCAATCCCAACGCTGCATTCTTCTTCATGTCCAGCTTCTTGGGTTATTTTCTCAGAATACGAATGGATTAAGTATGGTAAAAGGATACAACCCTGTTGTGTTCCTTTCCTGATTTTAAACCGTGTGATCTCCCCTTAATTCTGATTGAACAGCTGTCCCTTGGCCTATGTGCAGGTTCCGCATGAGCTCAATTAAGTGTTCAGGAATCCCCAAGTTGAAAAGCAATATGCTGTTGAAAGGAGTACTCTGGGAGGGAAGATAAAACCAGAAAAGCAAGCACATTAGCATCAAATCAATTCCAACTCATAGCAGCATTTTAAAGATAGAGTGGAACTGCCCCATAGGGTTTCCAAGGCTGTAAATTCTTAGGCTGCCACATCTTTCTTCTTCTGAGAGGCTGTTAGGTTCACACTGCCAACTTTTGAGTTAGCAGCCCCACACTTTAACCACTGCACCACCAGGGCTCTTTGGGAGGGAGGAGATCCAAGTGTTAGTCCTGCTTTGTCATTAACAAACTCTGATTTGGGATAATTTACAATCTCTCTGGGCCCTCTGTAAAAGGTGGGCATTTAACTGAATGATTTTAAAGCTTCCTTCCAGTTCCAAAAAAGCATGTTTGTGGAAGTTAGGTACAGGAGTTTTAGAAAATAAAAAGTACAATTTATTTCAGTGATACTTATTAGCTCCCCATGAAAATAGTCACATTAAAAAAAAAAAGGTTACATTGTATAATTTTTATTTGTAAGAACATTCTGAATTATCTTAATAGTCAAATTATTTGCACTGATCCACTTTGGTACACTGGGGAAAGAAAGAAAAAGTGATACTAGAGAAATTGGACTCTAGCTGTGCCACAGTGTTCAAATGTAGAGCCTAACCTTCTTTTTGGTTATTAATAAAACAGTTATAAGATCTTTTCTCAGTTTATAGGAGTTTTGATTGTTCCAACACAGCTGGTTCCACTAAGGAGTAACTATATATAAACTGATAGAAAGGAGCCTATCAAATTATTAATATAGATAGTGATTTTTAAGACATACCATTTTCGGTAGGTACAAAACCTAGAATTAGATTAAGAATGTTCCTTTGCAAGTTAGGAGTAGCATAATTTTAAATGTGTAAGTAAAGTGTTTATATGTAAAAGAATAATTGTAAAATTTTCCTAAGATGTTATAATCTCATGGGTTCATTGCTGAATTTCCTTACTATACCAGTTTTATGGAAAGTGATGATATGGGAAACTTTCTTGATTATAACAAGTTTGAATTACTAGTTTTTAAACGTATGAGGTCTTTTCTGTGATTACACACATGCTTCCCCCTTTAAATCCTAAATTATTTTTGAAAATATTTTGTTGAAAGACATAAATGTACAGTGAGCTGTAGTGAAGAGTTGAAATTTTGTTAAGTTAAGTTTTAAAACAAGTCAAGGCAAGTTTCTAATTTTTAATTTAAAACTGACTAGTGAATGCTATAAATTGAATAATGTTTCAACTGATTATCAAGCAAAATGATAATATACTGATTTAACATTCTCTCTACAGGTTTTATTGAAAACTACAGCTGGAGATATTGACATAGAGTTATGGTCAAAAGAAGCTCCTAAAGCTTGTAGAAATTTTATTCAGCTTTGTTTGGAAGGTAATCATAACTCTTGAGTTTTATTCAGTAGAGTAAGTTTTTGTTATTTAAAAAATAAACTGCAGTGTATTTTTTCACAACATTGAAGACTAGTGTTAAATTGAAGTGGGTGATACGATATTGAGTTTGTTGTTGTTGTTATGTACCGTCGAGTCGGACCCAACTCATAGTGACCCCTCCTTGGGTTTCCGAGGCAGTATCACTACGGAAGTAGTGGCTGGTGGATCTGAACTGCCAGCCTTCTGGTTAGCGGTCAAGTGCCTTAGGCACTATGCTACCAGAGCTAAGTGTCAGGAAATGGAGAGAGGAAAATTATTCTCCAAATAAAAAAATCATCTCCCCAGAGAATACTTTGCTCCTTTTTGGTCTCCTCTGCTAGTTCTTACTTCTTTCTTTCAACCTCTAAATATGAGTGTTCCTTAAAATTGCCTGTAGTTCCCTGTATGCTTCACTCTTCATCCAAATGACTATTAAATTTAGAACTCCAGCCATTTCTTCTCTTCTTAGCTCCAATTTTACATTTCTAATTGTCTAGTGAACTTTAAGACTTGAACCTGTTAACTGTCAGCTCCAACTACCAGTTGCCTAGTTAATTCTGACTCATGGTGACCTCATGTGTTAGGGAGTAGAACTGTGCTCCATAGAATTTTCATGTTTATGAACTTTCAGAAGCAGATTGCCAGTCCTTCTCCCAAGGTGCCTCTGGGAGGGTTCAGAGTGCCCACCTCTTGGCTACAGCTGAGTTCTTGACTGTACCACCCAAGACTCCTAGCTCTAACTAAACTAGTACAAAATGAAACTTAATCAGTTTCTTGCCCATAGTGCCTTGACTTTCACCTGTATGACTCCAATTACCTCTTACCAGGTCTTCTCTCTCATTGTTAGTCTCTGTACCCTCTTATTTATTTATTTAGTATTTTAATTCTTAGGCAACTTGACATCCTAGATTTCTAACTTTATTTTTCATTGCACCCACCATATGATTTCAGTTGACTGTTATCTTTATTTCCTGAACAATTCCTTCCAATTTCCCATTTCAGTCATATCCTCATACTAATCCTCCTTTCTGGAATACTTTCTCTTCCTTTCTTTACTCTTTAAGTCTTACCTGTTTTTGAATGTCTGCTCAAAATTCCACTTTCTCCACAAAGCCTAACATCCAGCCTTCAGTGATGCTGTTATTAATACCTTTAATGTTTTTACATATATAAATATATATATATATATATATACACACACACACACATACATACATATACACACACACACACACACATAAACATTTGAATTATACAGTGACTTTTTCTTTCGAAAAAACTTTACAGAATTATGTATGTACCTGAGTGTTTTTCCCTTCAGAATATTCTCTTAGGGAAATTAAGTACTCCAAACATTTTGGAGCTTCTTGTTGGATTTTAGAATATATCACATGTGGTTTTTGAGTATCTCAAATACTGGCAAATCATTGTCCTTTGAATTAGTATCTGATTTTTGTAGACAGACAAGGTTATTCAGGGTATAAGGAAACAGCATTTTGGGTCAAAAGCAAGATGTGAAAGAGAATCCAAAATAACCAGTAGTGGGGTACAGCAAGAGCTCTCCAGATAGATAGTTAGATAAATACATAATCATGAGGGGAACGTTTAAGGAATAAAAAATACCTAGACTCACCCCACCACCACCACCACCTCCTACTCCTGCACACTCAAAAAAAGAACAGAAAAAGAGGGAAGACATCTGCAAACACCATTATTAATTGCTCTACCAGGCAGGAAGGAAATAGAGCCAGACAGGTAGGTCAGTCAAGGAATCCTCAAGTAACTGTCAACAGAGCTGAGAAACAAAGGAGACACAGAAAAATCAGACTTGTTTCTGGAAAGAAATTTTAAAGAATTAAATGCTCAAATTTTACAGAAGGAAAGTGAAAGTACATGAACTTTAGAAAGAATGAATGGTAAATTGCAACCTGTGACCATGTGAATAGAAGAAACAGAAAACATCTGGATAATGGACATGAAATGAGGTTCTTAAATGATGTTGAAATTCTATGACAACAGTAAAATTATTTTCCTATTTTTAAGAATAACCATCTAAGTGTACAATTCCGTGGTATGTAGTACATCTACAATCCAGAGTTGTATTAACACTATCTCTATCCAGTTCCCAAACATTTTCATCTCCAAAGGAAAACTACATACGCCTTAAGAAGTCATTCCCTGTCTCTTAGCCCCTGGCAACCACCAATCTGTGTTCTGTCTCTGTGCATTTACCTATTCTGGATATTTTGTATATTTCACTTAGCATAATGTTTTTGAGGTTCATCTATGGTATACTATTTATCAATACTTCATTCTTTATTATGGCTGAGTAGTATTCCATTGTATGGATATACCACATTTGGTTTATCCATTCATCCCCTGATGGACATAAGAGTTGTTTCCAGCTTTTGGCTATTGTGAATAGTGCTGCAGTGAACAGTCATATACATGTATTTGTTTGAATACTGCAAAAACGGCGAGGAAGCCACATGTTCTGACCTCCTCTGATCTCACAAGAGGAAGACAGCAGTAACCCAAGGCCTATTACTGCAAGGCCAAACATGCTGCCTCCCTCCAGCCCTTTCACCAATTGTTCCTCCCAAAGCACCCACCACCTCTCTCCTGGGTTCGATAATTCACTGCAGTGACCACACAGAGCTCACAGATTACAGGGTTTATTAGGGAAGCACCAGTCTACAACTCAAGTTCAGGAGGAACGCTCAGTCTCTCTCCCAGCCCACCGTCCCTCAGCCAAGAGTCTCTCACAGTGTCTTTCCGGGGTGCGTGTCTCTTGCATCTCTTTCCCAGCAACGCGTGTCTCAGGAGCCCGTGTCTCTTTCAGCAGCAAGTCTTCCTCGACCAGCAATCCGAGCGAGTTCTGCCTCCAGGAGGTCTCCTTAAGAGCCCGCAGGGTGGTCAAACTAGCCAATTATAGCATCAGAACTCTAAGCACCTGAGAGAGTGGGCACCTCCCAGAACATTGTTTTGTGCCACTCCCAACAGAAATACTCCAGGTGGACACCTTCTGCAATCAGGAGCTCCTCAGTTGCTCATAGCAAATCCCACCTTGGAGTTTACAAAGACTTATGGGTAGAAAAGCCACACAAAATAATTTACTACACTGCAAATACTTAAAAAAAATTCTTTTGAGTATATACCTAGAAGTGGAATTGGTAGGTCATATGGTAATTCTTATTTAATTTTTTTGAGTAACCGCCAAACTTTTCTGCAGCAGCTATACCATTTTATATTCCCACCATGAATATATGTGAGTATCTCATTATGTTTTTATTTGTATTTCCCTGATGATTAATGATGTTAAACATCTTTTCATGTGCTTGTTGGCCATAGTTGCTACTTTTTAAAAAAACTTTCTGATCTTATCATAGATTCTTGCCCTTCTATCTTCACCAAATTCTTTGCACTTACTTTGCCTCCTTGACATGTCATGCTTCCACCATACCCAAGTTAATTCTTTCTCCTTCATGAAGTCTTCCTGATGTTCTGGGTTCCAGCTAATAAGTGCCAAAAGAGATTATATATGATCTCTTCTGTATGCTTATGGGTTCCAAATTACATATTTACATATAAATGAATTTTTTTCAATTATTTAGCAAACAGATTCTAATTGAACTCAATTATATATTGTTTTATTATTTTATTTATTGGAAGTTTCTGGACAGTGCATTGATATGCTAGACATATAAAATAATTTTGATAAATTGTGGTTTTGTGTATGGTCTGATATTAAATTACTTTTCTGTGAGAAGAAAAAGAAAAAGTAGGAAGTAAGGCATTCGCTTCTGCCAGCGTTTCTCAACCTCAGTACTATTGACGTTTGAGGCCAATAATGCTCTTTTGTGGGGTTATCCCGTACATTGTAGGATGTTTAGCAGTATCCTTGGCCACATCCACTAAATGCCAGTTGTACCACCCAGTTGTAATAACCAAAAATATTTCCAGACATTGACAGATGTTTCTGGGGCAACAAATTGTCCCCCTCACTCCAGTTGAGAACTACTGATCTGTATCTGAAATGCTAATATTTATTTTGAAAACTGTAATCTAGAATTTGAGAGAATACTGAAAATAAAAACAAAAAAATAAACCATGGTTTCTATAGAAATGTGTGCTATTTTGTGTGGTTAGTCTTTTATTAAGTATGGAAGAAAAGCTTTTAGTTTGAGAGACTTTTAACATTCTGGAAAAAAAATGTGTTATGTCTCTAGGTATATTAACTCTGATTACAACAGATGCACTTAATTTCAGACACTAATAAATTTTTCTAAAACTTTTTTTTCAGGGTATTATGACAACACTATTTTTCATAGAGTTGTACCTGGTTTTATAGTCCAAGGAGGAGATCCTACTGGAACAGGAGCTGGTGGAGATTCTATCTATGGGGCCCCATTCAAAGTGAGACTGAATTTTTACTGTTACTTATTTGCAGTTCAATTTAGATTGCTTAATTGAAAATGATTTTATCTCACAAGAAGAAAAAAACGATTAGTACACAAAATCAGATGCCTGTCACATATTTAGGATTATATAGAAATAAGAGCAATGCTTTACCTATCAACCGTTTTTAGTTTTTTGAGTGTTTTCATGATACTCTTTTATGATAGATTGAATTGAGATAGAGATAAAGGTCATTGTGAGGAAAACGTGAGTTAGCAAAAAAGACTAAATATCATACTTTCCATCTAACTATATCTTATTTCTATAGCTCTACAAAGGTCAGAACATCACATACATAATCTTATTTTAAAACATTTTATTTAAATACTATATATAATTCGTTCTAAAGTATACACAGTAGACCACTGTAGCACAAAGTATATGCCAGAATAGAAATTACAAGAAGAGGTGAAAAAAGCAACATTAAAAAAAAAAGTTAATGAAATAGTGTATTAATCAAGAATGAGTCTATTTCTTAACTGCCAACATTAATCTAAGAAGAAAATGAGTTAATGTCATAGATAATATGTTTATAGTAACAGTGGGTTCAAGTAAAAGCTAAAAGTGGTGATTTTATTAAATTGTTGGTTCTAGTATCATGTTCTTTGAATGAGAAAACATCAGTAGCTTGTTAAAATATAGGAGTGTTTGAAGGCTTTACATTTAAACTTACTGGATAGAGTGTCTAGAGTGTCTTTCATCTTTTCCTGGGTCATTGTGTGATTCTTGAGAAAAATACTTGAACTGTTAGCTTTAATTTCGAGATGATAATGACTGACCTTGGACAATGTGGAATGGTTATTGAAAAGTCTCAGATGTCACTGTTACACTATTTTATATTTTACCAAGGTGAGAGGTCTCATGATTTTGGAGCCTCCGTCTTTTAAAAAGCATTCCTTTATTCATTGTTGTTGAAATGGAAGGGCTCTATTTGATGATTCCTCCCTAACTCATGATTTTTTGCTTCATTATTTTAGGATTATACAGTTATCTTGTTAAGTTTTCAATTAGGTCATTTATAATACAATACAATGTAAGTATTTCAGACAGTTATGATTCTTTGAGTATCGATCTCTTGCGTATCATTTATTAAGACAAATAACTTCCTTTATGAAAAGCACTGATTACATGAGATAGCTGCATTATAATTGAGTCCAGTTTCAGATCTGGGTAGAAATTCTGTTAACTAAGAGACAAGTGTATATGTCTGTAGCCCTTCCATATCAACAAAAACTCAAAAAAAAAAAAAACCAACCCCAACTTACTTCCATCAAGTTTAATCTGACTCATAGTGACCCCTCCTTGGGTTTCCAAGGCGGTATCACTATGGACATAGATTGCCCCGTCTTCCTTCCAAGGAGTGGCTGGTGGGTTTGAACTGCCAGCCTTCTGGTTAGCAGTTGAATGCCTTGGATACTATGCCACCAGAGCTCCCATATCAAGAAAGGGGGAATAAAAAACATGTATATAATGCTATTGAGTTGATTCTGAATCATAGTGACCTTAGGACAGAGTAGAACCACCTCATAGAGTTTCCAAGGATGTAATCTTTGTGGAGCAGACTGCCTCATCTTTCTGCCATGGAGTTCAAATCACTGATCTTTTGGTTAGCAGCCAAGTGCTTAACCCCTGCACCATCAGAATTCCCATATCAAGAAAAACACCTTGGAAAGGCTTACTTATACTCTTGAAAACTGGCAAACATTGCCAATTCAGAGAAGATTCACTTTCCAAACCAAAATCACTGCCATCGAATTGATTCCAACTCAGCTACCCCCATTGGGTTTCTAAGGCTGTAAATCTTTATGAAAATAAATTGCTTCATCTTTCTTCTCTGGAGCTACTGGTGGGTTTGAACTACTGACCTTTTGGTTAACAGCCACATGCATTAATCACTACCTAACTCCTTAGATTCAGTTTAGGGCTTTAAAAAGTCACAGTAAAATTATGTAACAAACGTAGATTGCTTCAATTAAAAGCAAAAGGAATACAATTGTTCTTGACAATTTGAAGGTAGGTAGGAAAGGTCAATAGTTCAAGATTTCCCAATGGTTTGAAGGTGGTTTTCTTGGAGAAATAATAGAAGGTTCTGAAATCTTAGATGACTTTGAAGGATGAAAAGAATAGGGAAATAATTCTTAGAAATCCATTCCCCTCTGTGTAGGGAGGCAACTTTCCACATAATAGGATTCATTAACTAAAAACAAGTATATTTAGAACATACATAAAGGCTAGTGAAGTCAAGCCCAGTAGCATTGAAGGGATAGTAAATATTGGATTTGATTATACTTGAAAATCAGTTAAAGAACAATACTTCCTTTTTTTTAGAAATTGGGTCCTTGCCAGTCAGATGAACAACCACTGAAATATGAAGGATCTTAAAATAACAGGTCATTCACTAAACCTTTTCCTTTTTTATGCTTCAGGATGAATTTCACTCAAGGTTACGTTTTAATAGAAGGGGACTGGTTGCCATGGCAAATGCTGGTCCTCATGATAATGGCAGCCAGTTTTTCTTTACACTGGGTCGAGCAGATGAGCTTAACAATAAGCACACCATCTTTGGGAAGGTTAGTATCAGCTATCTTCAACCTGTGTTTTGGTTTATAATATTATTCTTTAAACTTTTGTGATACAAATGATCAACTTATCTAAGGGCTGCCTTCATAAAAATATTCCCTAAAGTATTTATTATTTCTGAAAATGATGGAATAGGTTTCTTTTATGATGGGCCATTCATATTTCTTATGTTATTCAAATTAATAAGTAGTAGTAGGACTCTAATGTTTATTTTTGAAATCATAATTATGGTTTCAGCTACTTTGTCAGTGAGCTGAAATTTTTTTTACAGTTTTAGAAAGATACCTGTGTAATAACATTTGGTAGTTTAAAATTTATTTTATGAACAGTATGAGGTGGAAGTAGTGTTGATATTGAAATTTTTTACTGGAAATATATTTTGAATAAAAACCAAAAACCAAACCAGTAGATTCAATCCTGACTCATGGCAATCCCATGTGTTTCATTCAGAGTAAAAATATATGCTTCATGGGGTTTTCATACTGCTCACATTTAAGGTAATATCAGAGGATCTTCTTTGTATTAAATTTTTAACAGTTTTCCTAAGAAGGAGCTCACTCTGTCCCTTCCCATATATATATATTCTTGTATATATTTTTATGTATTTTGTCTTAGGTACTTTAGACTTGACTGTTGTATTAGCTCCCTCTGCTGGCTCAATTAGAATAGTTTCTCTATAGCCTAGGCAAAAGTGGATTTTGTGATAATGGAAGAGAAAGAAATAAAATTAGCACAGCTAGAAAACCGATACTATAAAACTCTTGAGAAATGTGGAATGAAAGGAGTCATGTTAGAGTTACAATATTGTTGCTTAATTCTTAACAAGATGGATTAAGAAGTATACAGTTGGCATGTTCTTTCTAGCTATTTCGCCATAAAAAAAATCAAAACCAAACTGATTGCTGTTGAGTTGGATCCGACTCATAGCGACCCCTCCTTGGGTTTCTGAGGCGGTATCTCTACGGAAATAGATTGCCCAGTCTTCCTTCTGAGGAATGGCTGATAGGTTTGAACTGCCAGCCTTCTGGTTACCAGTCAAATGCCTTAGGCACTACACCACCAGAGCTCTGCCATAGGTAATCTGATATTCATAGAAATCCCTTTCAAGCGCCCTTTTTTTTTTTTTAAATAAAAAGCATGTATAATAAAATAGTACCACTTTGTATCATTTTTTACAATTGATACTATATAATTTATTCATTAGAGATAAAGTGGTTAGAAGTCAGAAGGGACATCATTGTTGACTCTGTGTCTTCTTTAAGCCTTAATTTTCTTGTTTGTAGAAGGAGGATAATGATGTTGCTATTGTTAGGTGCCATTGAGTCGGTTCTGACTCATAACAATCCTACCCTATGTGCAAGTGAATGAAACACTGCCTGGTCGTGTGCCAGCCTCACAGCCCTTCCTGTGCCTGAGCCCATTGTTGCAGTCATTGTGTCAGTCCCTCTCCTTGAGGGCCTTCCCCTTTTTTGATGACCTTCTACTTTACCAAGCATGACATACTTCTCCAGAGAATGATCCCTTGTGACAACATTACCGAAGTAGGTGAGATGAATTCTGGCCATTCTCACTTCAAAGGAGCATTCTGGCTGCACTTCTTTCAGGACAGATTTGTTAGTTCTTCTGGCAGTCCATGGTACTTTCAGTATTCTTCACCAACAACACAACTCAAAACCATCAACTGGTCTCCCTTATTCCTTGTCCAGCTTTCACATGCATATGAGACAATTGAAAATACTATGACTTGGGTTGGGGGGACCTTAATCTTCAAAGAGACAGCCTGCTCTTCAGCACTTTAAAGAGATCTTTTGCAGCAGATTTGCCCAGTGCAATATGACATCTGATTTCTTGACTGCTGCTTCCATTGGTGTTGATCGTGGAACCAATTTTCTCCATTTATTGTGATGCTCCTTATTGGTTCAGTTGTGAGGATTTTCATTTTCTTTATGTTGAGGTGTAATCCATACAGTAGACTGTAGTCTTTAATCTTCATCAGTAGGTACTTCAAGTCATCTTCACTTTCAGCAGGCAAGGTTGTATCATTTGCATATCACAGCTTCTTAATGAGTCTTCTTCCAGTCCTGATGCCATGTTCTTCTTCACATAGTCCAGCATCTTGGGTTATTTGGTCAAAATAAAGATTAAATAAATGTGGTGAAAGGATACAACTCTGACACACACCCTTCCTAATGTCGATTCAACTCATAGTGACCCCTCCTTGGGTTTCTGAGGCGATATCTCTATGGAAGTAGATTGCCCAGTCATCCTTCTGAGGAGTGGCTCATGGGCTTGAACCACCAGCCTTCTGGTTAGCAGTCAAATGCCTTAGGCATTATGCCACCAGAGCTCCCCTAAACCGTGCATTATCCCCTTATTCTGTTCAAACGACAACCTCCTGGTCTATGTACAGGTTCCTCATGAGCACATTTAAGTGTTCTGGAATTCCCATTCTCCATGTTACCCATAATTTGTTATAATCCACACAGTTGAATGCTTTTGCATAGTTAATGAAACACAAGTAAACATCTTTCTGGTATTCTTTTCTTTCAGCCAAGATCTATCTGATATCAGCAGTGATACCCTTGTTCCACATCCTCTTCGGAATCCAGCTTGCATTTCTGGAAGATCTCTGTTAATATATTCCTGCAACCGTTTTTGAATTGCTTTTTACTTGTGTGTGATATTCATGACATTGTTCGATAATTTTCACGTTCTTTTGGATCACCTTTCTTTGGAATGGGTACAATTATGGATCTCTTCAGTCAGTTGGCCAGATAGCTATCTTCTATATTTCTTGGCCGTAGACGAGTAAGTGCCTTCAGCACAGCATCTGTTTATTCAAACTTCTCAGTGGTATTCTATCAATTCCTGGAGCTTTGTTTTTTGCCAATTCCTTCAGTGTAGCTTTGTCTTCTTCCTTCATTTGCATTGGTTCTTGATCATATGCCACCTCCTGAAATAGATGAACATCAACCAATTCTTTTTGGTATAGTGATTCTGTGTATTCCTTTTCCATTCATCTTCTTTTGATGTTTTCTGCATTATTCAATATTTTGCCCATAGGATCTTTCAGTATTGCAACTCAAGGCTTAAATTTTTTCTTAAGTTCTTTCAGCTTGGGAAATGCTGAGTGTTTTTTCTTCTCTTTTGGTTTTCTAATTCCTGGTCTTTACACATTTCATTATAATAATTGACTTTGTCTTCTTGAGCTGCTTTTTGAAATCATATGTTCAGCTCTTTTATCTTGTCATTTCTTCTACTTGCTTTAGCTACTCTCTGTTCAAGAGCAAGTTTCAGGGTCTCTTCTGATATCCATTTTGGTCTTTTCTTCCTTTCCTGTCTTTTTGATGACATTTTGCTTTCTTCTTGTATGATATTGTTGATTTCATCCCACATTTTCTCTGGTTTTTGGTCATTGGTGTTCAATATGTCAAATCTGTTCTTTAAATGGTCTCTAAATTCAGGTGGGATGTAATCAGGGTCATATTTTGGCTCTCACGGACTTGTTTTAATTGTCTTCAGCTTCAGCTAGAACTTGTATATGAGCAGTTGATGGCCTGTTCTGTAGTTAGCTCCTGTTATTGTTTTGGCTGAAGATACTGAGCTTCTCCATCACCTCTTTGCACAGATGTAGTTGATTTGATTCCTTTGTATTCCATCTGGTGAAGTCCACATTTATAGCCATAGTTTACATTGTTGAAAAAAGGTATTTGCAGTGAAGAAGTCGTTAGTCTTGCAAAATTTTATCATGAGATCTCTGGTGTCATTTCTATCACCAAGGCCATATTTTCCAACTACCAGTGATTCTTATTTGTTTCCAAGTTTTGAATTCCAATCACCAGTAGTAATTGACACATCTTGATTGCATGTTTGGTCAATTTCCGACTGCAGAAGGTGGTAAAAATCTTTAGTTTCCTCATCTTTGGCTTTGGTGCTTAGTGCATAAAGTTGAATAATGGTAGTATTAACTCGTCTTCCTTGTAGGCGTATGAATATTATCCTATCACTGACAACATTGTATTTCAGGATACATCTTGAACCAGTTTTTGTGATGATGAATGCCACACCATTTCCTCTTCAATTTGTCATACATGGCATTGAAGATCATATGGTTGTGTGATTCAAAATGGCCAAAACTAGTCCATTTCAGCTCACAAATGCCTAAGATATTGATCTTTATGCATTCCATTTCATTTTTGACAATTCCAATTTTTGTAGATTCATACTTCTTATATTCCATGTTCCAATTGTTAGTGGCAGCTTTTTCTTCCCTTTTTGTGTTGCACCACATCAGCAAATGGAGGTCCTGAAAACTTTATTCCACCCATGTGATTAAGGTTGAGTCTGCTTTAAGAGGCAGCTCTTCCCTAGACGTATTTTGAGTGCCTTCTGATCTGAGGGGCTCATCTTCCTGCAGTATATTGGACAGTGTTTCTGGGTTGTTTGTAAGTTTTCCAGTAATGTATTAGACAGTGTTTCACTGCTTTTCATAAGGTTTCACTGGCCAATTCTTTGAGAAGTGGATGGCTTCATCCTTCTGCATCTTTCTCAGTCTGGAAGCTCTGCTGAAACTTATCCACCAAGGGTGACCCTAGTAGTGTTTGAAATACTGGTGGCATAGCCTTTAGCTTCATAGCAACATGCAAGCCACCACAGTAAGACAGACATGGTGGAGGATAATGACAGTACCTACTTATGAAATGTTTGTAAGGATTGAATGAGATAAAGTCTGTAAAGCATTTAACACGTTGCTGTTGTTATTCTTGTGATTTGTTATTCTACCCTCAAAAAAGAAGTAAACTCACTGCTATTGAGGCAATTCTGACTCTTACTGACCCCCATTAGGTTTCTGAGGTGATAACTCGTTATGAAAATAGATTGCCCCATCTTTCTTCTGTGGAACAGCTGGTGGGTTTGAACCACCAACCTTCTGGTTAGCAGTCAAATGCCTTAGGCACTGTACCACCAGAGCTCATTTACTCTACCCTAGTTTGATCTAATTTTTTTAGGGTGTTTGAGTAAAAAGTTGTCATTCAGGGGGAAGTATTTATATTTTTAATAAAAACTAATGTTAAGTATATATTGGATATATTCCAAAAAGCTTGTTGAATGCTTGAATTCCATTGTAGCTGTTTCTCCCTTAAGATGAAATTGCTTTATTTATATATTGTATGCAAATGCTCTTATATAATATTTATTTTTCTCTAATTATTTAAAAATATTTTTTAAAGTTCTTCCTTAATTTAAAGAATGAATGCCATAATATTTGCAATTAAACTTACTTTCTTATGTGATAGGTGACAGGGGATACGGTATATAACATGTTGCGGTTGACAGAAGTAGAGATTGATGATGAAGAAAGACCACGCAATCCACACAAAATAAAAAGTTGTGAGGTATGATCATGATGATTTTGAGATGCAGCACTTAAATTGTCATTAAGAGGAATTGATTATTAGTATTTTTGAACTGTTGGATGTAGGCTTTTGTTTATGCAGATTAACAACACAACTCACATTTTCTCTCTCTAATTTATTTAAGCACAATTTCGGATTAGGATGTTTATTTTTCATTGAAGGGTTTGAATTCAAAGTTGAAACTTGACCTGATAATCCAGTGAATAAAAACAAAAATAGAGAATTTAGGTTTATTTAGCCTAGTGAAATGACTTGATAGCTAATGTAAGAATGATCCTTCATTCAGGAAGCTAGGTCTTTGAGAACATTCGATTTGGAGTCAACGTCTGCGTTTGTCTCTCTTACTATGTATCATTTAAGTTTTCTTGAATATTTTCCCTTTTATAAAATAGGGATAAAATCTCCCTTACTTAGTAATACATAGGATTATTGGAAAATTCCATTGAGACTCTGTAAGTGGATGCAATAAATACATATATATCAGTATACAGATAATGGTTATCTGTGTACACCAAGATCAGCACAATTAAATACTGGTTTTAAGTTTTCATGAAATTAAAAAAAAAATTCAATAATGTTTTTAAAATATTTCTTTTCATAGGTTTTGTTTAATCCTTTTGATGACATCATTCCAAGGGAAATTAAAAAGCCGAAAAAAGAGAAACCAGAGGAAGAAGTAAAGAAGTTAAAACCCAAAGGCACAAAGTAATTATAGTAGAAAGATTTTTCTTTAGTTTTGAAAGCAACCCTAATTTCTTCAGTTCATTTTATTTCTTTATATAACAGTGAGGGGATGGTCATTGAGAACCAAGAAGATATCTGAACTTAGTGTTTTTTCTAAATGAACAATTATAGTATAACTTATGCTGAAAAAATAGTCTCAGAAGTCCATATGGCATCTGTGATAACAGCTAAAAATTTTACAACCACAATACTGTATATTTATGTAAATGAGTTGAAATTTTGTTTTTGTTCTTTACTTGTTTTTAAATTAATATATGCTCAGTACAAAGGACATGGAATATGAAGTATCAAGGATATTTTTAGTAGCTGCATGATTACATAATTTATTTAACATTTCACTCCTTTTTGTTGCTATTAAAAATAACCTTATTATAAATATATTTATACATACAGCTATTTCTATATTTTGGATTATTTCCTGAAGACATTTTTTTCAAAAGTAAAAATTTTTAAAAATAAGTTTTAGTATTTTTTGGACAATATTTCTCACATGATTAATTTACCTATTTTATTTACATGGATTTACAGTTAACATTTCAACCTATTATTTCATGAATTATAAAACCCATGTTAGGGATTTTATTATATTTACAAAATCTAGAGAATCCTAGGTGTAATCCTGCCTAACCCAGTTAGTAAGAGGCAAAGTTTACTAATCTTTCTGAGCTTCATTGTCCTCGTCTTGTTAAATGGAGATTATCATAACAACACCTGCTTTTCATGAGGATTAAGAGAGACAGGGTATATAAAAGCACCCACTAGAGCTGATGTTCAATAGGTATTAATTTCTTTCCTTGACATTCTACAAAATGAGTAAGTTCCTTATATAAAGTGTCAACTTGAGGTAGATATTTTAATAAGCATTTGTTGCCTTGTGGCAAAAGAATTTATTGCTATATGTTCAATATCCTTATATTCTTTATATTCTTTGATTTATTATGAATAATTTATCTCTGGTGAAAAGTTACTGTCATATTCACATGTAATATTTCATCTCTGATTTATCTTGACATGCAGCTCAAAAAGATTTTTTTTCCTTTATTTTTAATTTATAGCAAATATGTTATAGGGATGATGTAGTGGTCATTGATTGCATCTGTAAAAACCCACTGCCATGAAGGTGATTCCAACTCATTGCGACCCTCTAGGACAGAGTAGAACTGCCCCATAGGGTTTCCTAGGCTGTAAATCTTTACAGAAGCAGACTGTCTCGATTTCTCCCATGAAGCAACTAGTGGGTTGAAACTGCTGACTTTTTGGTTAGCAGCTGAACACTTAACCACTGTGCCACCAGGGCACTTTTTGTTGCATCTAACTTTAAAAGCAAAAGAAAAATAATTCCTCTCTTGCTTAATCTTTTATTTTCTCAGTATTTGTGAGAACCCACTGCCATCGAGTTGATTCTGACTCATAGCAACCTTTGTAGCATTTCCAAGGCTGTAAATCTTTATGGAAGTGGATTGCCTCATCTTCCTCTCACAGAACAGTTAGTGGGGTTTGAACTGCTGACCTAATTAGCAGTCAAATGCCTTACCCACTGTGCCACCAGAGCTCCTTAGTATTTGTGAGAGAGTTTTAATAATCTGTCATTTATCTTACTTAGAATTTTCTACCTTATTCTGAAGAATAAAGGGGAAAAACTTAGTTTTCTTCCAATGTGCTATTTTTTAGTTAAGTTTATTGCTTATATTTTTTATCTGACAATTTTATATAACTTATTTAAAAATATTAAGACATGTCCTGGCAGATACTAGATTAATTGCCTTCCATTTATAGGGCTCCGTAGGCTATATATGTATTAGTTTTTCAGGAAATCTCCATTTTGTTACCAATTTTGATAACTATAAAAAGCTGGACTATTTCTGTCATTGTTGGCTCTGCATTTAATGGTAGTGCTCAGAATGAAACTTTGATCATTTGGTCATTTGCTTTTGGTCATTGGGTCACAGCAAATACGAAACATCTGTGGTTTAAGGTCAAAGCCTTAATATTTTATATGATACTGAAAATATAGATCTTAGTGGTATTGCTGAATACTAGACAATATGGTCTCTTGTTAAATAGAATGTCTTTTATTTTTATAAATTCAGTTCTATTTCCTTGAAAATAAGATATTGATAAATTTAACTTTTTATGACTTTTTTATTTCTTTCATTCCTTTTTCCGACTAGAAATTTTAGTTTACTTTCATTTGGAGAGGAAGCTGAGGAAGAAGAGGAGGAAGTAAAGCGAGTTAGTCAGGTAAAACTCTAATTTGTCCTTTCTTCTGAATATGAAAGAGAGTAGAATCTATATCTTACTCACCTTTGTATCTCCTACTATACCTGACTTAGGACATTTTACATGATAAATACATTCAGTGTTTATTGAGCTGCTTAATAAAATGATTGTGGTCTAATATTTGCAACTTCTGAGGTGATTTACTCTAAACATTCTAATCTTTTATTCTGGCATACTTTATCAGTTAGAGGATGGTGCAAGACCAGGCAGTGTTTTGTTCTGTTGTACGTAGGGTTGCTATGAGTCAGAACTGACTTGACGGCACCTAACAACAAGTCAGCAGTTTCAACTCACTAACAACAACAACAACAACAATAACAAGAGATAATGTTTTTTGAATGGTTAAACATTATGATTCAGATTTTAACTGCTATTTGTTTAATTATTTTGCTTGATGATAATGATTATTATCATCATTTTAACAAAGAACCACAGACCAAAACTTTTATATTCGTTTTGATGTTACTTACACATATTTATTCATTTAATTAATTCTCATCACAGCCCTTTGAAATAGGTACTGTTATTAACCCTGTTTTACCCCATGAATAAATTAAAATATAAATACATTAGAATTTGTTGAGTGTTGTATAACCAGTAAGTAGAGCTGGGATTTGAACCTTGGGTCTTTTAAAATGAAATTCATGTCTTTGAATTACTGCATTGCCTAGTGGCATTTTACCTAACCAATACTTCACATACATCTTTTTTTTTAAATTGTGATTTGGGTCAAAGTGTACAGAACAGATTCATCTTCTGTACAATAGTTCATACATATTTTGTTTCATAACATTGATTGCAATCCTCGTAATGTAACAGCTATCTTCCCACTTCCTCCCTTTCCCTGTGTCCTTCTTTCCTATGTATTCCTGTCCTCTGAACTATCTCTCTGTCAAACACTGCCCTTCTGATCTCCCCTGGTTGACCGTTGTAGGGAGTATACCTAAATGGTGTAAATGTTCACCTTACATATATGTCTTATTATTTGGAAGCTATAGCAGTATGTTCAATTCCAGGACCTAAGGGTGATTAGAGGCCATAGTCTCAGGGGTTTCACCAGTCTCTAACAGATGAGTTATACCCTTGTCTTTTTCATGGTTTTGAGTTTTGTTCCACCTTTTTCTCCCACTCTACACAGGATCTCCTACACTGATCCCTTTCCAAGTGGCTGACAGTGGTAGCTGGGCACCGTCTAGTTCTTCTGATCTAGATGTTATGTAGGTTGAGGTTCTCATGCTCTACTAATCCCTTGGACTAATTGTTTCCTTGTGTCTTTGGTTTTCTTTATTCTTCTTTGGTCCAGATGAGGAGAGACCAATTGTTGCATCTTAGATGTACACAAGGGATATCATAGCTGTTGTCAGATGGATCTTGGCTCAAGGCAGGGAATACCAGAAAGATGTTTACTTGCGTTTTATTGACTATGCAAAGGCATTTGATTGTGTGGATCATGACAAATTATGGACAACATTGAGAAGAATGGGAATCCCCGAGCACTTGATTGTACTCATGAGGAATCTGTACCTTGACCAGGAGGCTGTCGTTCGAACAGAACAAGGGGACACTACATGGTTTAAAATCAAGAAGGGAGTGCGTCAGGGTTGTATTCTGTCTCCACACTTATTCAATCTATATGCTGAGCAAATAATCCGAGAAGCTGGACTATATGAAGAAAAACGTGGTATCAGGATTGGAGGAAGAATCATTAACAACCTGAGATATGCAGATGATACAACTTTGCTTGCTGAAAGCGAGGATGACTTAAGGCACCTACTGATGAAGGTTGAAGAATACAGTCTGCAGTATGAATTACATCTCAACATAAAGAAAACAAAAATCCTCACAACTGGACCAATGAGCAGCATCACAATAAATGGAGAGAAGATTGAGGTTGTCAAAGAATTCACGTTGCTTGGTTGTACAATCGATGCCAACGGAAGCAGCAGTCAGGACATTAGATGACGTGTAGCATTGGGAAAGTCAACTGTAAAGGAACTGTTTCAAGTGCTGAGGAGCAAGGATATCTCCTTGAGGACTAAGGTGTGCCTGACACAAGCCATGATATTTCCAATCGTCTGGTATGCATGTGAGAGCTGGACAATGAATAAGGAAGACCGAAGAAGAGTTGATGCTTTTGAGTTGTGGTGCTGGCGAAGAATGCTGAAAGTACCATGGACTGCTAAAAGAACTAACAGATCTGTCCTGGAGGAAGTGCAGCCAGAATGCTTCTTGGAAGCAAGAATGGCCAGACTTCGTCTCACCTATTTTGGTCATGTTGTAAGAAGGGACCATTCCCTGGAGAAGGATGTCATGCGTGGTAGGGTGGAGGGTCGATGAAAGAGGGGGAGGCCTTCAATGAGATGGATTGATACGGTGGCTGCCATGATGGGCTCAAGTATAGCAGGGATTGTGGGGCTGGCGCAGGATCGGGCAGTGTTTCGTTCTGCTGTGCATGGGGTCGCTATGAGTTGGAAATGACTCGACGGCACTTAACAACAACAACAACAACAGATGTACACTTGCAAGCTTTTAAGACCCCAGTCGCTAGTCACCAAAGTAGAATGTAGAGTAATGTATTTGTATAGTATGTTATGCCAATTAAATTTCTTGTCCCCTGTGACGAACGACTTGCTTCCTCAGGGTGGTCGGCTGTGGCTAAGAAGTTATTATAACTTGGGTCAATTGTATATATATATGGACATTCTTATGTTGTTGTTGTTATGTGCTGTTGAGTCGGACCTGACTCATAGCAACCCCTCCTTGGGTTTCCGAGGAGGTATCACTACGAAAGTAGATTGCCCAGCCTTCCTTCTGAGGAATGGCTGGTGGGTTTGAACCGCCAGCCTTCTGGTTGGCCGTCAAGTGCCTTAGGCACTATGCTGCCAGAGCTCCATATATATATATATTCATGTCCTGGCTCTCACTTCTTTAGAATATATACATATATATATATTTATTTATTTATTTATTTATCTACCTATTTATTTATTTATTTTATTTTTAATTTTAAACTTTTTTTTTTTCAATTTTTTAAAATTTACATGTATTGTGGTGAAAGCATAAACACCAAGACAGTCACCAACATAACAACATCCACATTTACAGCTCAGGGATATTTATGACATTTGTCATGTTGCTGTCCTTTTCCAAAATATTCCATCACTGTTAGCATAACTGCTCCACAAAGAAAAAAATTCCCTTTCCCCCTCCCCCATACCCCTGGTAACCACTAATAATCTTTGGGGTATGTGTGTATATATATCTATATATACATATATCTATCTATATCTATAGATGTATAGATATAGATATATACTTTTTTTTTTAAAAAAAACCTATCTAGCAAATTTCCCTCCTCTCCCCTCCCCTCCCATCCCTGGTAACCAACAATGAAAGTATTCCATTTCCAACTTTTTAAGGAATCTCCATACCATTTTCCACAGTGGTTGTATCATTTTATAGTGTATGAGAGTATATGAGAGTCCCAGTCTCTCCACATCCTTACCAGCATTTGTTATTTTCTGTTTTATTGAACTTTGCTATCATTGCTGGCGTGAGATGGTATTTTGTTGTTTTGATTTGGCTAATGATTCAGAGCATTTCCTCACGTATTTCTTGGCCGCCTGAATATCTTCTTTGGCAAAGCGTGTCTGTTCACTTCTTCTGCCCATTTTTTAATTGGATTGTTTGTCTTTTTGATGTTGAGGTGTTGAAGTTTTCTATAAATATTACAGAAATGTCCCCGGTGGGATATGTTGTTGCAAAATATTTTTCGCAGTTTGTAGGTTCTCTTTTTACTGTTTTGGAGAAGTCTTTTGATGTCCATTAGAATGTAGCTTTTAGAAGTTCTCAGTCATCTGATTTATCTTCTTCTGTTTGTGTATTTTTACTTGTATTTGGTAGTCTATTAATGCCATATATTAGGCCCCCAACTTTGCCCCTGTTTTTTCTTTGATGAACTTTAGATTTTAAATTTAAACCTGATCCATCTGAAGTTAATTTTTGTGTATGGTGTGAGGTATGGATCTTGTTTCATTTTTCTCCAGCACCGTGTGTTAAAGAGACTGTCTCTTCCTCATTGAATGGATTTCGGCCCTTTGTCAAAGATCAGCTGATCATGGGTGAATGGATCTATTTCTGGGTTCTCAATTCTATTCTACTAGTCTATGTGTCTGTTGCTGTCCCAATACCAGGCTGTTTGGACTGCTGTCCAAACAAACTACTGTGGCTGATAGTAGATTTTGAGATTGGGGAGTGTGAGACCTCCTACTTTAGTCTTCTTCTTCAGTGGTTCTTTGCTTATCTGAGGGCTCTTTTCTTTCCATATAAAATTATTGATTGGTTATCCATGTCCTGAAAGAATATTGATGGAATCAGGATTGGAATCGCATTGAATATATAGATTGCTTTGGGTAGTATTGACATTTTCACAATGTTCAGTCTTCCTATCCATTAGCATAGTATGCTCTTCCATTTATGTAGATATCTTACAGTTCCTTGAAATAGTGTTTTGTAGTTTTCTTTGTATAGGTCTTTTGAATTCTGGTATCATTTATTCAGAAATATTTTATCTTTTTGGTAGATAAATAGTATTGATTTCCTTTTTAGAGAATTCTGCTGCTGTAGAGAAATCTTACAGATTCTTATATCCTGTGACTATGTGGAATCTTTTAATTAGTTCCAGTAATTTTCTTGCTGAGTCTCTTGGATTTTCTATGTATAAGATCATATCATCAGCAAATAGGAATAGTTTTATTTCTTCCTTAGCAATTTGAATGTCTTTGATTTTCCTTTCTTGCCTTATTGCCCTCATCAAGATTTCCAATGTGTTGAATAGAAGTGGAGATAGAGGGCATCCTTGTCTGGTTGCCATTCACAAGGGGAATGATTTCAGTCTCTCTCCATTGAGAATGTTGGCTGTTGGTTTTGTATAAATGCCTTTTGTTATATTGAGAAATTTC